GAATTGTTAAAATAATACCTCATGAAACCAAATCTGAAATAGGTGCCCACTGTATTGGAGCCTCCCATGTGTGTCCTGTGTGTCCATGTCCTTGCCTGTACCTGATTGTCACCTCATGCTTCCCAGAGCAGGGACACTGTCACCTGTGCATCCTCTCTGGACCAGTGGTAAAGAAGAGGTGAGGGGAGTCAGTCTGAGCTTCTGACTGTTGATGCTCCCTGTTGTCCCCAGTGAAGTGCCAAGAATTGTTAGGTCACTGCCCTCCAGGGAGCCCTTCTCCTACTGGCAAGGAGATTCTGCAGTTTGAGAGGTGAGAGAGAGATGGTTATGGAACTCCTTGCTTGTGCTACAGCCCCCACCACAGAAAAAGTCATCTAGGGAATTATCAAATCTGTTTATGAGAGAAAGAGATCACTTCTTCTGCCTGCAAACATCTGGGATATCATTGATGACTTGTCCAAAAGGTTTAACACAAAGAGAAAGAGATCACTTCTCCTGCCTGCAAACATCTGGGATATCACTGATGACTTGTCCAAAAGGTTTAACACAATAACATCTAGAACAAAGTACAGCCAAATTTTCAGATGTAGTAATGAGAAAACCTTTGCTCATTATCTTTAGATCAAGTTAGCAAATACCTCTCCATGGAGAATTTTAAGAATTGACTTGGCAATCTGAACTACTTTCTAAAATTAATTTTTGAAGGCAGAAGCAAGGTGTCAGTGCATTTGGGGACATTAGAACTATTTCTGAATTGCTCAGTGAAAGTATAGCCAAGTATTATCCTCCCTCTTCTACAGGCATAGAAATCTGGATTCCTGATTCTTAACATTCTTTCCCTGCTTAGCAAATAATCACAGAAAATGTGTCACGTTGCCTTTAGTTTTGCTTGTTCATGCAAAGGATTCATGCCCAGTGTCATTGGCCAAGCTCCTACCTTTTTCCAGCAGGAGAAGGCTGTGTACCAAGTCCCCTTCCATGTCATAAACTTGGACTCGTTGTGACTATCCAGTGCAATCAATCTGCAGGCACTTCTAGGAAACCACAGACCTGCTGTGCCCAGGCCTCTTTTTGCTTGCACAGTCTGTCTGTATCCTGTGCAGAACACACTCTGTTACCTGGACATTTTTCTTTGCATTTCTTTTAATCTAGAATCAAGTCTACTGTATTAAAAATATAGATGTATTCCAAAGAGCAGGTCCTGAACCTAGTTTTATTACACCTAGTTTTATCCCGCACTTAGTAGAAAAACTAATTCTTTCGTGTTCATTCTGCTCCAAGCTTCCTAAGGTTTGCCCTTAGTTTTATTCCACCTAGTTTTATCCCGCACTTAGTGGAAAAACTAATTCTTTCGTGTTCACTCTGCTCCAAGCTTCCTAAGGTTTGCCCTGCTTGCTGTACGTTCAGTTTCAAAAGGAAAGGTGAGAAGTGTTACCTTCCCCCCTGGAGCAAGCATGAGCCTGCTGTTTGCTGTCCCCCCTAAGGTGTGGATTGAAGCCTCTTGAAACAGAGATAGGCATAAACCCCAAGATTGCTATCACTGAGCTATTACACAACAAGTGTGGGTGCTGGCTGCTGCTATTAATTTCTTACTGTGATGAAGTCACAGGCTTGCACTACAACAGATCTCTTTTTTTTAGTGGAAAGTAAACTCCCTCTGTTTTGAGGGCTGCTGATTGGGACCCCGTCCCACAGCCCCTCAGTGCAGCCTCCTGACAGCAGGGCAAGTAGCTGAGGCAACAACCAAGGGCCTGGTAGGCAGCCCCAGACAACTTCTGGTGCATATATATGTGTATGCTGTGGATCTCATGGCATAGCTGTAACCAGGCCTGTTCCACCTCAGTGCTGCTGACACACAGTAGGAAGAGAGACTTCCAAATCAGGTGTCACAGACAGTGGCCTCCAGCAGGCCAAGTTCTCATCTACAAGCCATGAAGACAGACAGAAACATAACTTACCGAGGCTGGATCATTCTCAGGAAATTTTCTGCAGCAATTTGTTTACTGTTTATAAGGAACTGCAGTGCTTGTCTAAGAGGAATGGACCTTTCTTGCTCACCAAGCACCAAAGGGCCAAGCAACCAGCACAAATTTAGGCAAAGCAATGCTAATTTAGGCAAATTGGTAACACTCTTCCTTTCTTTCCACAAAACTATCAAACAGTTTATAGAGTATGGAATGAATAGTGATTTTTTTAAACTTTGATTTGGCAGATACAGTGTTCTAGCTAGGAAACCAGGTGCATTAAATTTGCAAAATAGAATTCATGCTAATGATTTCTTTTACACTCAGATTTTAAAAAACCAAATCAATTGTGCCTTCAGGACATGTGTTTGTTACAGTTATGAATGAAACAGAAATGCTGGGAAAAAACGTCTTGTACATAGTATATTTCATTCCATGACTTATGCTTTACTTTGAATGCTGTATCCTGTAAGGGGAATGATTGCTGTCTAAAAAGGGGCTGTAAGAGGGAATACCTCTTTTTCCAATTTGCTTTGGGTAAAATTTTGAAGGATAGCCACACTTCTGTGGCTTAAACCCTTCTAAATGTATTGATGCACAGACAAGGCTCAAAAATACTAAGTTGTATTTTTCTGGTTGACTAAATGAAGCTGTTGGAAAAAACCAAATCTTGGTAGGGCAGTGTTGTGGGTACTAATAAAAGGTACTTATGTATGCCATACAGCTTACTCCAACAAATAACATCAAGTTATATAGTAGTATCAAAATCAAAAACTGTTCCTTTAGTTTTTCTTATACTTTTTCTAGTTAAAAATATTTTGATTTTTTTTTTTTTACATTTAATCTTAGACAGACCAAATTTTTACAGCAGTACATACCCCACACAAAAGTTCCAATGCTGCTTCACTCTCTTTCTTCTACTAAATGGAAGGAAGAAAAGAACATTCATCTTTGCCTATTAAGGGAATGATCCAACAGCTACAGATGCAAGCCATATACATGATGGCAAACAATATTTTTGAATATTTTCTTTGGGAAAGTATTTAATTAGGGCAAGAAAAAAATACACCTTGTGAGGGCTTTTTCGTTTACAGGCAGTATTACACTTAAGTCGTAGTCATGTGAAATTGGTTAGATCTTTCTGATCTAACATACATATTTTTAGTTCCAGGTTTCTTCCTAACTGTGGTTTAGCCTTTAGTAACTTCAAAAGGTAAAATTACTTTCTCATGCATTGTGTGGAGCACACATTATCTCCTCTTTTAAAGTTTTACATGTACCACATCAAGTAATACACTTATTTTGCCATAAAATCATGTATCTTTTCTGGAACACAGACTGAGATGTTTAATAAATATTTTTAAATAAGATTATACTGGTGCCCATGGCCTTTGGTTGATATTCCAGTAGTTAACAGTAATGACTATTGAAGAAATACAGCAGTTAAAACTCTGTCTAATGTTTAATGTTCAGCAACTGCATCCTGAGGTGCAAGTTCTGCTTTCAGCTCTATGTTTGTGGATAGAAAAGCAGAAGCAGTGAATTTGTAAATAGATTAAAGCAAAGTAAATTATTGTAGCTGAGCTTCCTGGCAACCGTGGACTTTGCTAATATGTCAGTGTGCAGAATCACAGACTGCACAGTAAATCTGAGCTGCTCTTGAGAACAAGCGTAAAACCACAGTAAACTGAGCAGGTAAACAAGGACTAGAACTTTCCTGAACTGTAATAGCAGTAAGAGAAATACTAAGGTGAATATAGAAAGAGCAATATAGAAGAAGAGAATGACAGAGAGCTCATTAAAACTTTGGGTAAATGATTGCATACTCATAGCAAATGAGGATTACAGCAGCATGGTATTTGTACAAAGGGTGAGTTCAGAGTGCATAGCAGCTTATTTGTGGAAAAAAATCAAGAATAAGCTAAAAGGCCTTAAATAGACACAATTATGGACTATTTCATGGGAATAGATTAATCGATAAAACAGGTATGGGGTGGCCAGTAACTAACAGCACAGAAACACAGATAATTTTGCCATGAGTAATGCTTTCTCTACAGTACTGCAATGAGAGAAACAACATATGTCAGAATTAAACACACTTAGCTCCAGGTTCATCTGCAGTGTAATTACAGCTTAGTCCCCAAGGTAATGTGTTTGGATCTAGTTATTTAGAAAATGTTTAGGCAACGTCATTTACATCTGAAGTCAGAGGCAAGGGAAGACGTTTGGCTTCCTTCTGCAAGACAGTGGAGTAGCATTTGCTTTTGTTTTCTTCAGACAACATGTGGAATGATTGTGAAGGTTTTTCCCACAGTTCTTACACCATATGGTAATCTTCGTGTTCTACACATTGCTGTGATAATATTAGTGTTGTTACAGGAAGCTGTAGAAGACATCTTAGCAAGAACAGTGTTTGACAGCTTTTTCTATTATCTTGCATATGTGTTGCATGTGACCTGGGGATGTAATGAAGTACTTGTTTACTGGTATTTGTGTCATTTCTGCCTCTTCTAAAATCATGATACAGACTACTAGTAAAACAGCTTCTAGTTTTATCAGTAGAAACATTCAGCATTAGCCAAACCTATCTCTTCAACGAGTATTTGCTAGAAAGAGATAAAGGAAGTTACAGTCTACACTTCAGATGTTTTAAAGCCTTTTAGAAAACACTTAAACTGTTAACTAGGTCATCGGGTAAATAACCTCAGAAGAGTTTATCTGTTCAAATGGCTTCTGCTAATTCATTTTATTGCAAGGTGTGCATTTCTTGTAGTATTGTGTATGTGCATTTCAATATTAATTTAAAATAAATATTAAGAAGGATGATTTGAGTTCATGCTGTTTCCATCTTTTATTGCAGGTGGAAATCTCACAGGAGCAATATTTAACCCAGCACTGGCTTTTTCATTACATGCAGATTGTTTCTATGACAAATTTTTGAGTTACTCACTAGTATATTGGATAGCACCATCCTTGGGTAAGTTCTTAATACTTTGTCTTTGAGAAAGTGTTATGTAGTACACAGTTCAAAAACCAGGAAATAGGTATTCTTGATGTGATAGTGTGCTCGATTTCAGCTTTACATAAAATCCAGACAATAGTTATAATGTATGTGTAGAAGTCATTCAGAATCATGGTTCCATGCTGCAAATTCAGGCTGTTTATTTTCAACTTGTTTGATGCTCAGTGTAGAGAGCCTGCAGCACTGTTTTGTGAATCATGGAATGGTTTGGGTTGGGAGGGACCTTTAAAGGTCCTGTGGTCCAAACCCCCTGCAATGAACAGGGACATCTTCAACTGCATCAGGTTGTTTCCAGGGATGAGGCATCCACCACCTCCCTGGACAACCTGTGCCAGTGTTTCTAGTTATATCTAGTCTAAATCTGCCTTCTTTTAGTTTAAAATCATTACCCCTTTTCCCATCAATCAAGCGTTAATGCTGAGTTTTAAACACCGTTTTGATTCACAAAATAACATCTACTGTTTTGATCAATTTATTTTAAGAAACAACCATATTATGGTGTACAATTGTTTGGTTTGGATATCACGTTCAAAGTCTAACTACATATACTGTGGACAAGAAAATGTACTTACCAAAAAAAGCACAATTCTAGATGGAAGAAGGTTGGTGTTTAGGTTAGGGTTAACTAGTTAGTTGTAAACCAACAGCTGTTTGTTCGGGAGGTTGATCCATTCAAAACTGCCTATTGTTTGGGACTTTATGCCTGCTTGGTATTAAAATCCAGCCTGTCTGAGGTATCACACTGATCAGAGGTTCACTTGTCGATTCCAGCAGAATACTACCAAGGAAAAGAGGCTACCTGAATGTAAATATTAGCCTGATTAACTTCAAAAAGAGAAACATACTGGTTAGCATGCAGTTTCTCTCTTGTTTTGTGACAGTATTCAAGAACATGGGGATGATAAATTTTTTTAAAAAAACTACCCCCAGGTATGAGGACAAGTGCTTTAAATATGCTTCTCAATTATTACTTTTATATCAAATCTTTTTTATCTTCATAGTGTCTAAACTTTGTAGTTCCTATTCTGTGTTTTTCCCCTAGTCACTGCTGGAATCAGTCTCATTTTAAGAGTAAGGAATGTTAGCAACTAGGTTTTTTTCTAACTTAAATTATGGTTTTAATTTTGAAGATAGTGATTTGAACTTCTAGTTGTATGCAGATGAAAGTGCTCCATGTGACACTTCATGCTGTTGTTTGTTTACAAATGTTGAGCTTCGTGCTTAAAAGGGTATATAAAGAAGCAGTCTGTTAATCCTGAGTTCTTTCATGGCTGTTAATCCTATTAGAAGGTGCAACAGTGATGAAGGCACAACGGCGTGTAAAATATACACAGGAAACATCACAAAGGGCTCCTGTTGTAACCAAAACCTTCCTTTTGTTGAGTTCAGGTCTGTGCATGTTCTACTTCCTTGACTCTCAGTCCGTCAAAAATGGAGACAGAAGTTTTAGACTAACATTCACTTTAATATCATTTTGTTAAATTAGATCTCCAAACAGGATGACTGAACAACAGAGTAAGCTTGATAACAGTTAGCAGTTAGTGAAGTATCTTAGGCAAAACTGATCAGCATCACTCGGGTCCTAACAGAACATAAAATATTTCTCAAAATTCAGCTTAGCTTTTTGGTATATTGACTGATTTCAACATGATAGAACCATTTAGAGATCTTCCAGGTCGTAAATACTTGGGATTTAATATTTTGGCAAGGGATCTAAAGAAACAGGAGGCATTCTGAAAACCCCATGTTCTACTTATTTGCCAAGATGTGTCCTGCAGAACAGCTTTACAGAAAGCCTTCAGGTGATTTAATCAGCAGATATTAACTCAAATGGGCCTGTGACTTGAGGAATTCACAGTGTGATTAGGGAGAGATGTTACATTTCTGTGAAAATTCATCAGCAGTGGTTTGTCATTAGTTAACATCTAGCAAAATGCATACTGACTGTGTTGAAGACTGTCTCATAATTTAAGAGGGAAGGGAACTCCAGGCTGAGCTGCTGTAAAGATGTGGAAACTCAGGACACATCACTTCTTGCACAGTGTCACTACTGTAGCCAAACATTTAGTTACAGATCTCAAGTCTGTGGATCATCTGAAGGGCTGAGTAGTCTAATGGTAACATAAATATCTCCTTGGAAAACAAGGATGCTTCATGGATATGTGGAGACCTTACTTTATAAGCCAAGAGCTGCAAACAAATACAGTGTCTGAGGTGGAAGTACAGAGGAGATTGCTGTATTTGAAATATGATGAATACAGGAGTGCAGATCTACAAATCTGAAATGAAGTGATTTTTCTCTGACGCTTGTTAAAAAAAAGAAAATACAGGAATAGAATTTGTTGTCCCACAATTGGACCAAATGATGGGGCATCTAGGAAAATGACCTGTTACGAAAATTCTCGTAAAAAGAACCTCTAAGCAGAATCATAGAAGTAGGTGATATGGGGATATTTTAAATTTAGTTGTAAAAATTATTTTCAGAATCCATGTGTCAGCAGAAATACTGTTTCAGGTTTCCTAGAAACAGGCAGAGTTGTAGTGATATGCTAATTTAATATCTTACTTTTCCCAGCATCTCAGATGGTTAAAGTACTTTGTTCTTCCTTTGGAGAATTCTTTCAGGAGTCTGTTAGCTTTTTTTTTGTGATTTGCTGTAATAACTACCACATGCAGAACCATGGACTAGCATACCATGAAGCTTCAAACTGCCAGGGCAAAGTGCAGTATGTTCTCATTTATGGCCACAGCAAAAACCCACGAGGACAAGGAGTCAGGGAGTGTTCAGTATATAACTGATACCCTGAACTAGCTGTAAGCGAGTTCTTAACCATCAGCTTTAAAACAATTTTCTTAGAAAGGACACTTGAAGCAAGAGGAAGATTAATTATCACCTTCAGAAGAGGAAGATGAAGTAGAAGTTTCCTTTTAGGATAAACAAATCTGCTGGTGGTTTGTGGTCTTTCAGGGATATAATTGTGGAACTGTAGTGAATTACTCAGTTTTCAGAACAGCTTCACCGATGTTTTGGTGAAGGCGATTCTCCAGCAGCATTAAACAGCTAATTCCTGTAATTAATACAGATGTCAGCAAGTGTTTATGACTCGGCACAGGCAGGCCTGGTTTTTGCACTGTGAGCATAGACACAGCATGTACCAGTGGAACAAAGATAGTTTCTGTGTTTCTGCCAAAGGAATTCATGTTGGTTGTCTAGGCATGATTATACCATTAGTAATGATGGGGACTGAGCTAATGCTGCTCTTTCAGTACCAGGGAGATGGTAGCTATGAATGGAAGAGTTGGTGACAAGATAGTCATGAGGTCAATAAAATGTGATGCGCTTTCCTGGACAGGTGCCAGGTTAGAATGTCATAAAATTGTATCCTAGAGTGAGGGACATTAAAGACCTTCTAGTTTCAACCCCCTGCCATGGGCAGGGACACCTTCCACTAGACCAGGTTGCTCAGAACTCCATCCAACCTGGCCTAGCATCCTGCTAGGTTTCTAACAGTATAAAACCAGAATCAAGGCCACTTCTTTAGATCAGTTTTACTAGAAAGACTAATACTGTTCCATAGATGAAAAAAATTTTCATGATCAAGATAGAAAATAAGTGCCACAAAAGTCACTTAGCAGTAGACGTAGATGGAGGAGGTAAGCAAGGGAGAAGGAAACAGGTGAGACTCTTACCTTTCTGCTCAGAAGAGAGGATATTCAGAGGCTTCCAGCAAGCTCAATACATTTAAGCGTGGAGCTTAACAAAGAAACAAGAGTTCAGAATCCATGTGCAGTGAAGTGACTAGCATCTCAGGGACTTGGTAGCAAAGGAGAGTTTCAACAGACAACTAGAAGTCTCCTACTCCCAGGCTCTGGTCCTCCTAGGAGTTTTCAGTGTAAAACTTGTATCAGTGAGTGAATGCAATCCATGAAGTTCCTAGAAAACTGTCAGTAATTAAGTCTAATTCAAATACTAAAGGGCCAGCGAGTGGTAATCCTGTACTTGACCTGGTTACGGAGAAGAGTGGGTGGTGGATGTGGCCTCTTGGGTTGTAGTCCTTGCAAGAGTTCAGGGTCCAGAGGAAGACTGGGAAGGTAAATAGCAGAGCTGTTCAGACTTTAGACTTCGAAACAAAATTCTGCTTATTTAGGGAATTGCCAGGTCAGTAGTCATTCCCTTGGAAGCTGCCATAAATATGAAAAGTATCCCATATTTCAAAAAAGCTCAGTGAGAGCTCAGTAATAGATTTTGAAGTGCAGGAAGAATCTGCCATGTAGTTAGACTAGGAATTTTGATAGAAAGCCTTTCCCTGCTGGCTAGACAAGGAGCTTCGTTATGAACAAATGAGAGCATGTAAGACATTAAAATAGGGAGAGGCAGCAAAGGAGGAGTACAAAAGCTTTGCACAGGCACTTAGAAACAAAATCAGGAATGTCAGAGCTCAGCTGGAACTAAGACTAGGGATATGCAGAGTTACAAATACACTAATCACAAAAAAGAGAAAATGCAGGTCCATTGGTGGATAGGGAAGGCAACCTGATGACAAGGCATGGAAAAGGCTGAGGTACTGCATGTCTTTTTTAAACCACTCAGACTTCCCAAGCTCCCAAACCTCTTTGTAAAACAGTAAGGTTTTGGAAAGGAGGCAATAATTAGTGAGGGAGCAACAGGGTAGGAACAACATAGGTAAGCTCAGTGATTGCAAATCTATTGACTCAACTGGGATTCATCTAGAAATGCAGGTAGAGTTGACCAATGTTAGTATTGTTCCTCATTTGTGAGAGGTTACAGCAGTTGGAGGCTCCCACCAATGGGAAATGTACTAATACTGTGTCTGCTTATAAGGAGAGAGAAGCCAGGGAACTATAAACTATTTGGTCTCACCGCAGTCATTGGGAAGATGGTGTATGTAGCCTTAGAATCCATTTCCAACTATGTAAACAACACAAAGGTAATCACAGGAACAGTCAGCACAGATTTAGCAAAGGTAATTCATGCTTCACCAGCTCTATTGCCTTTCATGATGAATGAAGATGAGAATGAGGGAGGGAGCACGGATGCAGTATACCTGCACTTTAGTGAGGCTTTAGACACCGTCTCCCATGGGGTTCTTGGTTCAAAGTCAAAGGAGTGGGGTCACACAAAAGGCTGCCAGATGAAATAAAAATTGGCCAAACCACTGACCTCAAAAATCAATGTGTTGACACCTGGCTGATGGCCAGTAACAAGCAGAGCATGCTGGTGTCAGTGCTGAGAGTTCAGATTCAGGTTTAATAGTGACCTGAATTAAAGTCTGTTCACAAGTTTGTTCTCTCTGCAAGTAAGACAAAGCACATGATTCAGCAAACTGGGATCAGCACATCATGGGACATTGCTGCCTCCCTCTACTCAATGCTTGTGAGGTGCTGTCTGGAACACAGCTGGTCTGGAGTCCCCCAGTTTAAGGGCGATGTGGAGAAAGCAGGATCCAGTTAGTGCAGGACTACCAAGATGGTGAAGGGTCTAGAGTACCTGATCTGTGAGGGGGGGCTGAGGGAACTGGAATTGTTTGGGCTGCAAAAATGAGGTGAAAGGGTGTTTTAATAACAGTGAGTCATTATGTCAAGAGCAGTTACAAGGGTGACAGAGATTAACTATTCTTCTTGGCAGACTTGGTAACATTAACACCGCAAAGAGTGGCACGGGAAATTGAGATCAATCTTCAGGAGAAGGGTGCAGTAACATTGAAACTAGTTTCCTGGAGAAGTGCTACAGTCTCCAGCTAGGGAAGAGCCTCAATGGGCTATCCAGCACAGACAATAGTCCTGCACTGAGTGGGAGTCCAGAACAGAGAGAATTCCTTCCAATAAGCTTTTTCTGTGATCCAAGAAGCTTCATAAAGTACAAGCTATGGGTGGGCAACACTGTCAACCAAGATCCTCTTAATTTCTGAAAGAAAATAAAAATATACCCATATATACCAAAAATATACCAATTTTTTTTCCTCAAAGAATGGTAATAATAAACTGTGTATTTGGATGCCTTTTGTTCGTGTATGATTCTCATGAAGCAACTAGTCTCTAACCAATTTTTCTGCATCAGAGTAAACCCTAAACTAGAATGATCTTAAAAAAAACCACCCACCCACTATCCCATACCCACTTGGCAGCACCTAAAATGATGTGGTTATCAAAACAGATGCTGCTATCAAACTCAGCTGAGGGATGGAGGCTAAGCTGCTGGTTCAGTGACTCAGACATCAAGCTACAAAGAAAGGAGTCCTGAGACAGCAACAGGAAGGTGAATGTGTTGGATTCACCTGGTTGGCCAAACTGCTCTGCCTTTGTTTTGGCTGATACAGGTTAGAATTAAAACATGAGACATACCAAGACAACCAAGATTATTAACTCTTGAGGAGCACTTGCATGGTCTGTTGAAGCTAGCAAAAGTACTGATGCAGTCCTTGCTGTACTGCATACTCAATACTCAGTGCTCAAATACTTGAACATGGTATTTGTTTTCAACACCAGTACTGTGTCCTCCTCAAACACATTTAAATAAAGGTACTTTCTGTAATTTCTCTTTTCAGGTACAATACTTGTGGCTTTTATATGGGACGAAATCTTTCCTCGGATATCCTGAAACATCAGATCCTGAAATCTGGCAGTACTCCATTAAAAAATACTTCCAACATCTGCAGACATAAAGCTTTCAGAGAACTGTTGACAGACTTACATACCACCTTTCAGTTGTATTTTCAGATTTCATGTTTGAAATATTTGACTTACAACTTTAGTACCTGAACACAATTTTGTAAACGTGTATTGGGATTTTGGGAATATCTGCCACCGTTTTAAGTTAAGCCATATGAATGTGAAAGACTGTTAAAACACTGAAACTTTGTCACTTTAGCCGCAAGTGCCATTTGCTGACCTTTATTACAACAGCATGCAAAACTGATTTTAGAGAAAGACCCAGTCCTTTCAAGTTTGATTTGAAGGGGTTTCTTCCCATAGAAGGAACCTGCAAAAAAGGAGCTGCAGATTTCGCTCTTGTATTGACATCATTGTATTCTTAATTGCCATAGACATAACTCTGAGATGAAGAAAGGCTACACTACTGCCTAGAAGAGTTTCCACAGCTCTATTCTAGAGGTACCTGCACCAAAATTAAAAGTCTATAGGACCAGCATTGTTTTAATAGTACCTGAGTGCAGGTAAGTAACCCCTTGCTCCCTTTCAGGAAGGCTCTGCTCCGTCCTGCCCCACTGTAGTCTGTTGAATGTTTATCTTGGCTGGAAAAAGCAGTAATAAAGTACCACAAAATTCCATAGACACACACATAAAAGGGCATTTTAGGCAAATCAGATATTACTGCTGCCTCTTCACGTAGACAGGGGATATAGGGATGAATCATGTGGAACTTGATTTGTCCTTGATTTTATGTAACTCTTACCAATCTATTTTCTTTCAAAACAAATGAATCTGCACTACAGGAGAATAAATAACAGAGCTAAAAACGACAGGAAAGCCAAATACACAAACTGGCACAAACAAGCCCTTTATAGCCTCAGCTGAGGCTATAAAACACCACTGATAAGCACCACTGGGAGCTCTCATCCTCTGAAGCTCTGCTTCTAGCATTCAGTTTCTTGTTCCGGATGCAGCTTAATTTTTATAGAAGCCAGAATATATTTTTCAAATTTAAGAGTAGAATTTAGTTTTTCATTTTATAGTTACTAGTTAATCATCTATCCTCTCAAATAAGTTCTACAAAGATCTCTGTAGCATATCCCTCGACCCATCATCCAAGCCACCTTACAAGCCAATATTCTAAGAGAAAGGGAATCAGATGGGGGGGTTTTTTTCACAGTAAAATTATGAAGCAAGTCTTTAACAGCTACTGTTGTCAGCTATCTTTTTGCAAGGGTTTGGGAAGTAAATATTTTCATGTATTTTCTTCCTTGTGGCAATAAAATCTTTTCTCACTTTAATTTTCCAAGGTACCTCTAAGATTATACTACAAAATGAAACCTACTGTTTGAATGTGCTTTACATACAAGAGTCCTATTCATGACCCTGTAATTCAGTCCATAATAATAATAATAGCAGCCTGCTAATACACTGGAGAGAACTAGAACTGCTGGGTTGTCATTTAGCAGCTCTTTGATCCTAGTGTGAGTTCCTACTAAAAGAAACTGGTCCTTGTTAACACTCGTCACAGCAAAGGCCACCCACCAGCACACTGAGCCTGGGAAGAGGTGATCCTTCAGCTGCTTTCCATCCAGCATCCACTTATTTGTGACTCAGCCACAGAGAGCTGCTGGAACAGAAATCAGGCATGGGACCTCTGTAAAACATGCACTTTTGTACCATGTTCTGCTTCTAAAACAGACACTTTGGGGGGCTTCTACCTTCCCTTTATCACTTTACTGCTTTTACCTATTTTTAAAGTGATCCATACCTTATAGACTTCCCATCCCCCTCTCCCAGCCATTGTTAGCCTCATTCCTTATGGAAATGAGCCTTACATAATTTACATGGTTGGCACGTTTCCTCTGAGCCCCTGAAGCCCACAGGGTAAAGGCCTAGAAAATAAACCTCAAAAAGCATAAAACCAGGCAGGGAAGTGAGAAAGCAGAGACACAATCCCACAGGGCAGACCAGATTTACTAGATTAGAGGCCCTACTGGCACGACATTTTTTACAGCCTGCAAAAGCAAAGTCCATAAAGCAAAGAGGTCAGATCAGATCTGACTTCTGTGGGTCTTCATTGTATATTTTGGCATAACATTAAGAGTTTAAAAAAAGTTGGTACAAATCTGGGTGATAAGTGAGTAGTTGCTCTATTTATAGCCACCAGAAGTAGAATATAAAATTAAAATAAAAATCACTAAGAAAGAGACAAGCCTTAAATTGACTAAATTACTGCAAAACAAAAGGGGGGGGAACCCCAAAAGCAGCAGAAAGAATGAAAAATAAAACAAAGTTAGGAACAGGGGAATTGAACTGGTTTTGGTAGTACAGACAAAAATGAGTATTTTACATTGAAAGTAATGATGCTTCAGAAGAACCCTAAATAAAAAGTTTTATGGAAAATGAAACACCTCAATTCACCCAACACTTTTCAGCACTACCTTCAGGGCTCATCCAGGTTTATTTTCACCTCACCAAATTTAATTTGACTGGAAGCACCACAAGGTGCCTGCTCCTGGAGCTCTGCATTAGTGCAACACAACTTCTCCCTCTGGAGCTGCTGAGTGCTCAGATGTAGTGTGAGTGCCAAGGGGAGCCATACACAGCTCAGCTGCCCTGTAGGTGGCTGTGCCCATCCACCAGGGTGTGTAACAGCCTGCAGTCTAGTGTGAAAAACAACAGGACACTGCAACTCAGGTTTACACACACACAAAACCCCACCGGTCTACCTTAACAGTGAGTGGTGACAGAATCCAGTGAGCCTTTTCCCTAACTATGGTGCTGGTAGACTTTTACCTGCCCTGAAATCTCACCATGCCAAGATTCTCCAAATCCCAGTGCAAAAATCAGCGCATCAGTCTGTACCCTCCTTTGTTACTCTGCATCCCTAACAAAAACATGCACATATTTACATAAATACATATGTAGATAAAGGTGCTAGTAAAGAGTTTCTTGTAGAATGTCTTGTGTAACATGTAAAATACCTCATTTATTCAGCAACAGCAACGGTTCATAATACTATTAATTTGACTGGCATTTCTAATGAACAGGCAACAAAGAGTGGTTATAATTATCCCATACCATGAAACCAAACCACATCCCAGTGTGCTAATCAGGGCAGGACCACTCAATATGATTCCAAGAGTGTAGGGCTGGTAAAGAAAACTCTTCATATACCAACACAGCAATAGCCAAAACCCACCAAAACCCAAAGTCAACTTCAAACCAAAATAAACTGAGGAAGTTTGGTATGAGACTGGGGAGGAGGGGGAACAACCCAAAGTTGCTGACATTACCCCATGGCAAAGACAGCACCCCACAGAGAGATGAAATGGAAAGCTCCAGCAGCACCAGGATCCTGGCAATCTAAAGCTAGCTTCCAAGCCTGGGATGTGTCAGAATAATTCTATCACGTGCACACTCTGCAAATATTCCACCCTTTTATCTTCTCATCTAGGTAAATGATGAAAATGGTTTCCCTGGGGTTTATTTTGTTATGGAAGAGAGTGCTAAAAGTCAAGGGCTCAAGCTGCTTGCTGAAGTAAAGGACTGAGAACTGCAACACAGAGCTGGCTGTGAGATACAAAAATCTTAGTTTATTTAACAGTGTTGTTAACATTTAATACAAAGACAAACAGTTCTCTTTCTCTGGAATTTACAGACTTTATTCCATCTCCTCTCCCACCCAAACTCTGCTCTCAGAGAAATGAAAGGGATAGCACTGAAATGATAAAGCCAGTTACTTGAGGGGCTTTTAATTTACCTTTGCTTTTAATCCTTGGCCAACCCTATTTCCTTTAGTCCAATTTCATAACATTTCTATTTCCACTTTACTCCATGGATTCAATGAACAGGTACAAAAATACAGAAAATTCAAGGACAATCCCAAATTCTGTTCTAATAACAGTTTTATTTCTGAAGTCTCAGAATTCCTACAAAGGCTTCTTTGAAATGCCAGAGAGGTTGCCCAGAGAGACTGGGTCTCCCTGATCCCAGAAAGCATTCATGGCCAGGATGGGATGGGGCCCCAAGCAGCGTGATCTATTGAATGGCATCCCTGCCCAGGGCAGGGGGGGTTGGAACAAGATGATCTTTAAGGTCTGTTCCAACCCAAATCATTCTGTGATACCATGAAATGACCCCTGATTAGCCCCATTCAAGTGTTAGATGCAAGAGGTTTTATTGTTTTTGTTTTGTTTTCTTTATTTTTAAATAACTCCGTAGTGGTCACAAATGCCAAACCCTGTTCGAAACATCTCTACAAGCATTTATAGACCTAGATGTCTAAGCTCATGTCATTAAAAGAAAGGTTAACTCCCGATAGTCACTGCAATGCCTTCGGTTTTACAGCTTATTTTGGAAGTGCCGCAAGTGGAATCTGAAAGACACAAAACACCAAGTTTACACAACTGGCATTAAAATAAAAGGTTATTAATCTTTGCAGAGTAGCAGCTATCTGTTGTTTGCAATCTGAGGACAGCACTTTACTGCAAACCCACTAATTTTCTGAAGGGCTGAGCACCTCTGCCTTCAGCAGCAGCTCTGAACTCAGGTCGGCTAAGGACAGCATGTGCTTACAGCATGTACCAGGGCAGCTGCACTCGGGTGCCCAAGCAGACACTGCTGCACCACAACACACTGACACACCAGTTGCTTCTGAACAATTACTGCAGCCTCGTGATGCGCCAGACAAAACACTGCTTATTGCAAGACCAGTGGAAATGCCCCACATCAACTGTCAGCAAGTCTTCCAGGAGCTTCAGCAGGCGACTGTCACATCTCATTGGGGTAACGAGCAGTGACATGCAACAGGAGTGTACCACAAGGGCATTGCTTCAGAGGCAGAGCATTGCACTGCTCTCTAAAGATGTTCATGTAAATCGTTTTGCAGTTCAGAAGGTTAAAAGGGCTGAGCTGCCCCATGGAATACTGATAAGATCACTGCATGCTTCTTCTCCACCCTGAGTTTCAGAGCACAGAAGAGCCAAGCCAACCTTGTGCTCAAACTTGTTAGCAGGGTGATTAGTACAGACCTCCGAGAGCTGTCTGTCACTTTGCACCTTGGACTGCTCATTGCTGCCTTAGATCCTACATTTCTGAACTTACTTAAGTTACATCAACACACTCAGGCTGGAGGTTACTTTAAAAAGGACCATGACACCCACAGCTCCCGAACTGCTACTTGGAGCAACGTCACTGCAACGCCTGACACTGCACGTGCAGGTCACTTGATCTGCCCTGACAGGGATCAGCTCCTCAGCTCTGATCAGCACAAGCAGGACAGGAGGAAACCCTTCTCAGTCACCTCTCACAGCATTAATCTCCTACAGGCACATGCCACACCATGGAAGGCATGGAATAAGCAGCAGGGAGAATTCCACTGACCGAAACTACTTCTTACTGGGTGTATTTGCACTTTGCTAGAAGATCAGTCTACAACACTTAAACTGGCACTTGCAGGTTCCTTAGACATCTGCTACCAGCCACTAACTCTCCTTAATCCTGCCCAAGTTTAAAGCAGGATAATGAAGGAGTCATATTTGAATTTTCCAACAGCAGGATTTTTATTTTATTTTTGATAAACCATGGACCAAAGTCATCTCAGAGATGGAATCATTAGAGCCAAACTGTCCATTCAGTCACTGAAAGGCACTTCCTACAGCTGTTCTTTAATTTGCAAGTGTGTCCTTTATCAAACTGGATAACCATCCAGTGGCAGGGCAACCAGCATCTACACTTTGTTTGGAAGAACTCTTTGTTCTGCAAAGTCTTTCCCAGGGTAGAAGTGCAACTGCAGAAAAGTTTGAGCTCTTATACCAGACTAAATATCAATGCAGGACCAGTGGCAGTGGCTGAGGTCAGTGAGAGAACACAGGGCTACTCAGACACTTTCAAAACTGCAGGAATATTAACAGCAGCAAACTAAAATAAGCAACCGAGGAGGAAAGCAGCTGGGCATGACTCTTTGCAACAGCCTTCCCTGGGGACTGCAGCCTCTTTCTTAGGGACACTAATCACTCATCAACTACTTCTGACCCATTTCCACTGTCTTTTTTTCAGTGTGTCATCTTCCTATTTGTGTCCCTTTCCTCCTTCCTCCCCTGAGCTTTTGGCTGTCTGCTCCACAAATGTTTTCTCCAGCGTTTCAAGTGGGATAGTTCGCTTTAAGGTAGGAGCTGTCGGTCTCACTTCCAAGAGAGGTAGAAGAACTGGGACAACACAGCACGTGCAGACTGTGCACTAGTGAGCACTGCTGAAGCAACCATGGGATCACAACTCCACTGTGCCTGTGCACCTCCACAGACAGTCCCAGAAAAAGCTGCTCTCCCTCTCCTGCCCAGTGCCAGTGAGGAAACAGTGGCACATCTTGTAATGCTACTAACAGGAGAAAAGCAACACAGGTGATGGAAGGCAAGAGGACACACTGGCACAGCCACCTGAGCAGGGTGTTCTCTCAAAGCTCTGCTCCTGACAACAATCCCATCCAGACTGCTGGGTAACTTTATCAGCAACTGTTCCTGCTCCACTTATAGTGAAGGAAGCGACAGACTTGCAGCACTGTGTGTCCTGCCCCCTTGGACAGCCTGGGAAATCCTACACACTAAGGGTGAAATAATATTCTAAGAACAGTAACTTCTCAGAAATGGCTCCAGCATTCATACATCAACATGTAAAAGCCTTTGAGATTGGACAATTCTTAAACCAACTAAAGGGCTGACCTGTCTTTCAGATAGGCACATCCATGCAGGTTGGCTCTGCAGGGTGATGGTTTATGCCAATAGGCATTTTTGGATAGATCACTGAACATCTTTCCACATTTGTGATAACTACAGCTACCTTTTCCTTTCTCTAAATCACCATCATCCTGATACCACAAGACAATTCCTGTAGGAGATCTGGGATCACATACATTGCACAGATAAAAAAGGAGAGAAGGCTCTGCAGGACTAAAAAGCATTGGTGTTGGCAGTCAGAAGAACTTACAGCAGCACACGTCCTCCTCAGTGATCGACTTCTGCGTCTTCAAACTGCCCGGCAACTATCGGTGCAATGTCCACCTCCATACCATCTGCAAAGACAGCCAATGCTGAGTAACCAAGCGGATGTTTTCCAGGGAAAGGCAACACTGCTCAGGCGGCCAGCACGGAAACGCCTTCGCTGAACCTCTCAAAGCTGCCCAAGGAAACGAACCTGCTCACAAGTTTCTGGGTTTGTTCCAGCTCTACTGGTCAGTCACTGAAAGACCTCACCGCTTCCTACAGCCGCACCTCACCCTGTCTTATCAAAAGACTTAAGCGCTGGATTTAAACATGCTTTAAATGTGGTTTCAGTGTAACAAAGGGCATGATTCCTTTGAATAGCTCTAATGACACTCTAGCAGAAAGAGGCTGGATCCTGTTCTGAAACTGGTCTCAACAATCATCAGGCTGAAAGAAAGGAATAACCACTCTACACTACAATGTCAAAAACTAATGTAATTCTGAAACCAAGCAGCCCTGGGGACATTTGTAATTGCAGCAGACCAAGCAGCAGTACCATAGCAAATAAGATTAGGAAAGTAAACAAAACTGATTAAGATGACTCTGAGACATGTGACATATTTGCTGTTATACTCATTTTCAAAATTCTGGGGTTCAGAAACCTGACTACACTTTCAAATGAAGGGCACTGCTAAAACAAGTGTACCACCTAAGGTTGTCTTTACATTACATAAATTTATTCAAAGTTTCAGAACAAAAAGAACCTGTAAACAACTAACAAAACAAATAAGATTAAAAAATCCTCCCTGTGGATGAAAACAAGTTATTTATTGTTTTGTTGACTATTCTAAGCAAGCTGATCGCTAAAAATCCCCAACAGCTGTATCATTTTCCATCTTTCAAAAACATCAGAGCAAACCAAAAGTACTGCAATTTATACTTAGAAAAAGAGAAGCAATACTACTAAGCTACTTCTCCCAGGTAATATATTGCTCTGTGAAAGCAGCATGCAGAAAAGGCAAGTCTGAGATTTTGCTTCCAACAAAAAGAAATTTCACCTCTTAAATACACATTTGTACAATCTCTAAACTAAGAGACAGCATCCTACAGAAAAACAGATCATTTTAAAAAATTTGAATTCAAGAATTCTTAACACAGCAGCCCTCAATCTACAGCAGGCAACATACTGCCTGTAGGGCCACAGGCATGTGGGCAATACCTCAGCTTTTGAGATAAGATACCATCCACAGCATGATACTCACACAGTCCTGGTGTTTATGGACTAGCCAGATTGAAAAAACACTGACATCTTACAAGCACAGGATGGTCTGTGTTGTAAGGGACCTTAAAGACCATCTCGTTCCAACCCCCTGCCATGGGCAGGGACACCTTCCCCTAGACCAGGTTGCTCAAAGCCCCACCCAGCCTGGCCTTGGACACTTCCAGGGATGGGGCATTCACAGTTTCTCTGGACAACCTGTGCCAGTGTCTCACAATTCTCATAGTAAAAAAATTATCTCCTTTTATTGTCTGAATCTTCCCTTCTTTTAGTTTAAGCCAATCCTCTTGTCTTATAGCAACAGGCCTTACAAAAAAAGTCTGTCCTCATCTTTTAGTACTGAAAGGCCTTAATAAGGTGTCCTCTAGAGCCTTCTCTTCTCCAGTCTGAACAAACCCAAGTCTCTCAGCCTGTCTTCACAGGAGAGATGCATCAGCCCTCTTGTCACTCTCATGACTTCCTCTGGACTTGCTCCACTAGGCCCAGATCCTTCATATGGACCCCAGGGCTGGATGCAGCACTCCAGGAGGGATCTCATGAGAAAAGAGATGACAGACAGAATCACCTCCCTTGACCTGCTGGTCACACTGCTTTTGATACAGCCCAGGACATGGCTGGTTTTCTGACTGAGTGCACATTGCCAGCTCATGTCCAGACCTTTCATCCAGCAGCCCCCCCAAAGTCCTTTTTGGCAGGGCTGCTCTTAATCTCTTCATCCCCCAGCCTGTATTGATACTGGAAGTTGCCCCAATCCAGCTGCAGCACCTTGCACTTGGCCTTGTTGAACCTCCTGAGGTTCCCACAGACCCATTCCTCAAGCTTGTCCAGGTCCCTCTAGATGGTATCCCATCCTTCAGGTGAGTCAACCACATCCCTCAGCCTGCCATCATCTGCAAACTTGCTGCAGGTGCACTCAATCCCATTGGCTGTGTCACTGATGAAGACATGTATTCTTTAGTAAAACAAAAGCATTTCTTACCTTCAAACTCCCTTATTGAGTCCTCTGTCCTCACTCCAGCCATGTTGTACTGGCTGCTGACAGACTGGGCTAACATGCCTTCTAACCTCTCCAGCGTGGCCTGACCTTCTGCAGTTAAATGTGACAATCCTTCTTCGTATGTGTAAAAGCTTGGGATGTCACTTTGTTCCAGCTCTGCAAAAACAAGTTTGTGTTCATCAGACCTAAGTTTAAGAGCCTGCATCAAGCAGGACACAGCTAGGCATGTTACGCTCAGATGAACTGTCTGAGATGAAAAAGCTGCTTACATCAGGTACAGAAAACACCCAGCGATGTGAACCGAGCACACAGCAGCATGGGCACTGGACCTGTGCTAGCACAGTCCCTGGGCACAGGGAAGGCTGCTGTTTGTGCCTGGGGGCTTTTGAGAATGAGAACAACGCTTTGCTGAGCTCCAGTGATTTGTGACAGCTAACTTATAGGTTTTCTGCAGATCTGTGGCTTTCTATACTGTGCCCATGACAAAAAGGATGTAATAAACAATCATGACAGATACCAGGTATCCAAGTGTTGGCAGGTATTTCAAAAGAAGCAACTGTTACCAACCGCGGGCCTCAACGTCGTACTCCTCCCCTTCGTAATCATCATCTGAATCGTTGTCGTCTGGGTCTGGGTGCAGAGCTTGGCACTCACACATTGCTGAAAACATGGCTTCCACTGCAGGAACACAAACACCCCTTGTTTCTCCACCAATACCCCCAAAACAACACCCAAGAAACTCTGAACTCAAAAGTCTCCATTTTAAAGCACTGGAATTCTTCCCGAGAAGCACCTGCTTGAAATGTTCCATCCCCAAGCCAGATAAAACTATTTGCTTTGTTCTTTTCAGCACACAGAAATCAAGTAAATAGAGAAGGACCCTGAAGGATCAGGGCATTTACATATTTATACCCCAGTGCCCTCCAGGTCTAGCCAGGGCTTTAAACTAAAACAGAACACCCTCCTCACTTACAGGCTGATTTGTCGCTGGGTACAAATCTGAATTCTGCAATTGGTTCAACCTCATCATCGCTGTCATCCTCCTCCTCCCCTTCAGCCATGGGAGCCTCTTTTGTCTCATCTTTAGGAAAATGGAAACATTTAAGAGAAACATGTTTATTTTGTCCATTTGTTTATTTGTCACATTTGTTTATTCTTTCAGGAACATATACAATCAAATTAGACACCTGGACATGGCCTGAGAGAGGCATAAAACCCCCACTCTCTTCTCCTGAAAAACCCCCATGAGACTCCAGGACTCACATGGAAATATGAGGTCCTCTCTCAGCACCTCGACAACACTTGCAAAGCACACAAAAGCTTCCTATTTATAATTTTAGGACTTAGGACTTCTGTAATGGTCACACAGTATATTCACATACTTCAAGAAAATTGCCTGATTCTTATTAAAAACAACTGTGCTCAACCCCCAGTTCACAATTCTCATTTACTTGCACAATGCTATATATATATTTTTTAAAGCACATGAATTTTACTCAACATTACTGTCACCAAAAAACCCCCAACCAAACAGTGTGGCCCCTCCCAGGGGATTCTGACATTCAGAGTGGATGTCTACTTGATTTCCAACATTCCTAGCCAGCCAACGAAGTGTACTCAGGGCTAGTGACAACTATGGGCAAAACACTGCTTCCTGACTCCTCTGCACCATGCACCATAATAAATAAGCAACAAGATGGTGTTTTACTTTCTGTGAATATAAAACCCACAAGGAAGATGACTGCAATTCATCACTCTGTGGCTGGGGACACTGCACTGACAGCCTCAAAAGTGCATAATTATTTTCTAGAGATGGAGAGGCTTTTATCACATGCAAAACTGGCACCACCATGAATACAAAGAAGCCAAGAAGCTGCCAGCTAGCTGCCCCAAAAAATGAAGTGTGCAAGGAAGCTACCCAGTCCTTTTCCAACAGACACCCACAGGCACAGTTTGTTGCTGCAGAGTTCAGCTCTTTGTTTTCAATGAAGTCAAGTCCCAGTGCCTTTTTCTAAAAGAAGGGGTGAGGATAAGGCACATACAGAGAGCACAACAAAAACTTTCAGAGGAAGGACAAAATGTCCCCTGCTCAACTGAGAATGAAGACTCCTGCAGCCAGGAAAGTGGGATAGTTTAACACTATTCAGCAGTTAAAATTACAGGCCAGGGCTAGAATTTGAAGACTAAAATCCACTTGCTGTAGATTTACTGTAGGCAGAGTTCATATATCAAAAAAATAAATACAAACATACAAAAAACCCCACAAAAACCCAGTCTATTAAGGATTTCTAGGTAAGAACTATCACAGGATATCCATAATTTCAAACACCATTATCAGAATGAATTAAAAGCTAGGAACAAAATCTTTCTTCAGACAACGGTCAAGTTTACTTCAAAGTAACAACAGTTAAGGGCACTGAGGAAGAAAAAACAAAAGGTGTACATATAGGTCCCCTTACTATTTGTAGTGATAGACTGTCAGAGAACATTAGTTGCATGAGAGAAGGAAATAATGAAGAGCTTTAATAGCTTAAAAATGACTCTGCCTCCTCATAGTCTTGTATCTTCCATATATACTTGAAAAACCTGAATGCCAGTTTTTAGTCTTAAAGTATGATGACCAGTAGGCATGAAGGGAAAAGGAGACCTGCTCAAGGCCTAGCACCCAATAAGTCTACAACTGAGATGGCAGTTCATGACACACTTAAAACATTAACTGGTCTGCCAGAAGAAAAAAATTAATATGAACTCCCCAAAATCTTCATCTAA